AACCAGGTGGTAAAATCACAGTATAGTGAGTGCAGTGGCTCCTGGCAGGTTCACAGTCTCTCTCTCTCTCTCTCTCCGTATTGAGATCCCAGTTGTTCTAATAGTGGTGGGAAATTTTCAAACATCCCTTGTTGTTGTTGTTATTGTGGTTAGGTGGCATCAAGTCATCTATGACTCCTAACACCCTATGCATAGCAGAACGAAACACAGCCGGGTCCCGCGCCAGCTCCATGATCCTTGCTATACTTGAGCCCCTCTCTGCAGCCACTATGTCAATCCATCTCTTTGAGGGCCTTTCCCTCTTTTGTGACCCTCCACCTTACCAAGTATCACATCCTTCTTCAGGGAATGGTCCCTCTGACCACACGACCAAAGTAGGTGGCACGAAGTCTGGCCATTCTCGCCTCCAAGGAGCATTCCGGCTGCACTTCCTCCAAGACAGATCTGTTAGTTCTTTTAGCAGTCCACGGTACTCTCAGCATTCTTCACCAACACCAAGCTCAAAAGCATCAATTTTTCTTCAGCCTTCCTTATTCATTGTCCAGCTCTCACATGCATATCAGGCGACTGAAAATACTGTAGCTTGTGTCAGGCACATCTCGAGGAGACATCTTTGCTCTTCAGCACTTGAAAGAGGTCCTTTGCATCAAATTTGCCCAGTGCTATATGTCTTCTGATGTCCTGACTGCTGCTTCCATTGGCATCGATTGTAGAACCAAGCAATCTGAAGTCTTTGAAAACTTCAGTCTTTTCTCTGTTTATCGTGATGCTGCTTATAGGTCCAGCTGTGAGGATTTTTGTTTTCTTTATATTGAGATGTAATCCATACGGCAGACTGTATGCTTCAACCTTCTTTAGTAAGTGTTTCAAGTCATCCTCACTTTCAGCAAGCAGTGTTGTGTCATCAGTGGATCACAGGTTGTTAATGATTCTTCCTCCAATCCTGATGCCGTGTTCTTCTTCATATAGTGCAGATTTTTGGATTATTTGCTCAGCATACAGATTGAATAAGTATAGTGAAAGGATACAACTGTGATGCACTCCCTTCTTGATTTTAAACCATGCAGCATCCCCTTGATCTGTTTAAAGGACAGCCTTCTGGTCTATGCACAGGTTCCTCCTGAGTACAATTAAGTGTTCTGGAATTCCCATTCTTCTCAATGTTATCCATAATTTGTTATGATCCACACAATCAAATGCCTTTGCATAGTCAATAAAACACAAGTAAACATCTTTCTGGTATTCTTTGCTTTGAGCCAAGGTCCATCTGACATCAGCAATGATATCCCTCATTCCACATCCTCTTCTGAATCCAGCTTGCATTTCTAGAAGTTGTCAATATACTGCTGCAACTGTTTTTGAATTATCTTCAGTAAGATTTTACTTGTGTGTCATATTAATGATATTGTTTGATAATTCCCACATTCTGTGGGATCACCTTTCTTTGGAATGGGTACAAATATGGATCTCTTCCAGTCAGCTGACCAGGTAGCTGTCTTCCAAATCTCTTGGCATAGCTGAATGAGTGCCTCCAGTGTAGCATCCGTTTGTTGAAACATCTCAGTGGGTATCCCATCAATTCCTGGAGCCTTGTCCTTCACTAATTCTTTCAGTGCAGCTTTGACTTCTTCCTTCAATACCATTGGTTCTTGAACATATGCCACCTCCTGAAATGGATGAACATCGACCATATTGCAACTTGAGGCTTAAATTTTTTCCTTACTTCTTTCAGCTTGAGAAATGCTGAGTGTGTTCTTCCCTTTTGGTTTTCTAACTCCAGGTGTTTGCACATTTCATTATAGTAATTGGCTTTGTCTGCTCGAGCTGCTCTTTGTTCAGCTCTTTTATCTTGTCATTTCTTCCATTTGCTTTAGCTACTCTTCACTCAAGGGTAAGTTTCAGAGTGTCTTCTGACATCCATTTTGATCTTTTCTTCCTTTCTTGTCTTTTTAATGACCTTTTGCTTTCTTCATGGATGAGGTTCTTGATGCCATCCCACAATTCTTTTGGTTTTCAGTCACTGGCGTTCAATGCATCAAATCTATTCTTTAGATGGTTTCTAAATTCAGGAGGGATATATTCAATCATATTTTGGCTCTTGTGGACTTGCTTTAGTTATCTTCAACTTGAAGTTGAACTTGCTTATGAGCAGTTGATGGTTTGTTCCACAATCAGCTCCAGTTTTGGCTAAGAATATCGAGCTTTTCCATCACCTCTTGCCACAGATGTAGTCAGTTTGATTCCTATATATTCCACCTGGTGAAGTCCATGTGTATAGCCACTGTTTGTGTTGTTGAAAAAGGTATTTGCAATGAATAAGTTGTTGGTCTTGCAAAATTCTATCATGTGATCTCCAGCATTATTTCTGTCCCCAAGGCCAAATTGTCCATCTACCAGTGATTATTCTTTTTTTCCAACTTTTGCATTCCAGTCACCAGTGATAATTAACACATCTTGGTTGCATATTCGGTCAATTTCAGACTGCAGAGGTTGGTAAAAATCTTCAATTTCTTTATCTTTGGCTTTGGTGGTTGGTGTGTAAATTTGAATAATAGTTGTATTAACTGGTCTTCTTTGTAGGCGTATGGATATTATCCTATCACTGACAGCATTGTACTTCAGGACAGATCTTGAAACATCCTTTGTGATGATGAATGCCATGCCATTCTTCTTCAAATTGTCATTCCCAGCATAGTAGTTCATGTTTTGTTTTTTTTTTTTAAATGCCCTAGAGTGGAGATATTAAACTCCTTACTTCCAGCTGATTGCCACCATAGCATGGAACACACCATCATGGAAAAGTTAACGCTCACTCTTACTTATCCCAACTTCTCCTTGTACTTAACGTCTTGAATTGACTGTACCTGATCCAGAGAACTGAAAATACAGGTGGCCTGGGTTCCAGTTCATACTCCACCTAAAAGTTTCCTGACCACTAAGGGCTTCAGTTTCCTCATCAGTGAAGTGGTGAAAACAGTAGTTTGTGCTGACCTCCCCATTTTATTGTGAGGCTCAGTTAGTACAGGAAGAGCACTTGACTGTGCGTGAGACATGGAGCACACTCTGTATTCACTGTTACTGTAATTGTTATGGGTATCTTTGCGTACCTAATTTCCTACATGAAAGTGAATTCCTGATGTTGCTTTCATTAAGGAATCTTGTATATTTTGCAATAGATTTTTTTGTTTACTTACTATGGCTTCTCTTCTGAACCCATTTAAGAAGGGGATATGCCAGGAAAGGTTTCTGCAGAATGACACAGACCTTAGATTTTTAGCCAAGAATGATAACTAAGGTGATTTAGCCCAGCAGTCACCGTCATCAAATTTAGGGTCAGAAACCCCTCCTATGATCAACTTTAGGAACAAAATATCTTCATACTGCTATCACCTGCTCCCTTTAGCCTCATTTTCACTCCATCCCCCACCCAATCTCTTAGCATCATCCCTGTGGGCCACAAAATGAGCAAGTTTTCTTGAAAATAGAGTTGAGTTCAGGCCTTAATATTTTCTCACCATAGTATCTTTTAGGACTATAGTATCATATGCTGCTTTTTCAGCCATAAATGGATTTTTTAAGTATATTGCTTTAAAAAAGGAAACTTACTTTATTTTTTATATTAAAGATAGAAACAGTATAAAAACCTTAATGTGTAATTTTGAAGATCAGTGAGACTGTGAGAAGGGTTAAATGTTTTCAGCTGATGGCAATGATATGTGAGGCTGTGTAAAAGAAAGCAGTCATGAAATACATTTTTGCATAAAGTTTTAAAATTTATTAGAAGGTAAAAATAATTGAAAAAGCGAGACCTTCCTTGTTGGGTTATAATAAAATTATTTATGTGGCGCCATTATGCATGTTATTGTTCAGGAGCTGGAGTCCTTAGAAGACTATTCTCAGAAACAAGAAGAAAGCTGAGCTGTTAAAGCTATTGCGTTGAGAAAGCTGACATACATACACAGCAATTCAGATGAGCATGGCCATATTAAAACGTTGGTAATAATAGTTAAACTGCCAGCGTCTGAATTCTGTTAGTTATAGATGCTCAATAGGTGCGTGCTAAAGGCAACTACTTACAAAATATGCCCAATGCTGCTCTTTGGTAGAATTTAGCGGTAGACTCGTGAAGTAGTATTCATTGACGTGACCTCCATTAAGACCTTCACTGTGGGATTGAAACATTCGGCACTAATTTTACAGTTCATATGCTTTGCATAAGTGCTTGAGCCTTGTTATAAATTGCTTTGAGATCATACACCAAAAGAGAACACGCAGAGCCTTTATTAATGTTCATTTGGTTTAAGTGCCCTCCTACTTCGAACCCACTCATTCTGGTTCAACCCCTGCTGAGAACTTGCCACCACCCCCACCCACCCTCTGCCCCCTGCCTCCCCCATCTATACTGGGGATCTTGTTAAAATGTAGATTTTGATTCAGTATGTCTGGGATGGAAAGGCAAATTCTTAGCAGGATGTTGAACCGGAATGAACCAGTTGGAAGCCTTGGTATATACCATATGTTATCTTCCCCTATCCTTTCAACTCTCAGAAGTGAGCTTTGTGTTTGGGGCTTTGAAATGGTGTCAGGCAGGCCTCCCTAAAGACCAACAGATTGTCTCACCACTAAACAAGAAGAGATCCATTTTTAACCTCTAACTTACACATTTTTCATCCTTCTCTGAGCAACCCTGTTCCACACTATCTTCTCTCCTTTCTTGGTCAGAAAGGCTGCTAATCTGTAGTGAGAGATATCGGTGACCTCAATCCCTGCCCACCATTACAGTTTCCATCTGATTTAATTAGAGCTTGGAGCCGTATGTGATGAATACAGATGGAAAGATTGGGTGACTCATTTGAGACATTGCCTTTTCATGTATGTGAATACGTGAAGGAGGAAATACACCAGTGCCCTACTCCAAAGTTCCAGTTGTAATGGAATATGTCTTTAATGTGATGCCCAACTGAATTTGCTTCTGTGTTTCTGCCTTCTCTGTTCATCAGGAATTCCAATGTTGAAAATAGTGTTTGCAGGCCATGAGCACCTGTCTCTAATATCCGTGCCCTTGCTCATCTACCACCCTGCTCAGATCCTTCTGGGGAGTGTACTGGTGCCAACAATCAAGTCCTGGATGGTGTCAAGGCAGAAGGTGAGACTCTCAAAAGATCTAATTGGATTAAAATGCTATTCTTGTATCTTAGATGTTTACACACTAGCTTTTGGTAGCATGTCCTCATTCTCATATACATATTTTCTTAGCTAAGTACAACAACATGGGTTCATTGATCCATTTCAATGGATCGGGAGGGTTGAGGGGCAAATGTTTGAAATTGTTATAAAAGTACAATTGTAGTGAAAATACCATTTTAAAAATCTCTTCTTAAATCATTCCTGTTAAAGGGCATCTGTATGGGTACAGGTTCAGTAAATAAATTCAAACTTTGTACTCCTCCCCGCTGGTGCACACCATCTCTGCCCTACCCTGTCTTTTGTATGTATCTTCATTTCACGTACCATTCTAAATACAGCAAAACCTGGCTTTATCTTGAAGTCCTACTTGATTTTAATTTTCTAAACACACAGGTGCTACTTTGTTTTTAATTTTCCAGATACATAACAACTTCTTTGTAAGGCAAGACTGTGTGTTTGGTGCTAAAAATAAATTTTAAGTAGGAAAGGACCCCACACAATGTTAATGTCATCACACTTAGCTCAGGGTCTGTTACCTCATAGATGTTTGTGGATTCCATTTATTACCAACCAGATTAAAAGTGATTCACAAGAAGCTTGTTGTTGTTGTTGTTATGTGCCGTCGAGTCGGACCCAACTCCTAGCAACCCCTCCTTGGATTTCCAAGGCAGTATCACTACAGAAGTAGATTGCCCCATCTTCCTTCCGAGGAGTGGCTAGTGGGTTTGAACCGCCAGCCTTCTGGTTAGCAGTCAAGTGCCTTAGGTACCGCACTACCAGAGCTCCCCACACAAGAAGCTTAGATGACGCATATACCGTTGTAGCACTGGTGGAGTGCTTAGACTTCACAGGACATATTTTTATCTGTACGTGAAGCAATTGTTATGCAACAACTGCAGGAAGAAGAGACATCCAGTGACAAAGTGCCTACGTCATGTCTTTAGTGTCTTGAAATCCAAATAGCACACCGCCACTTATTGAGCACTGTGCATGCTAAGCATGTCCCCTTCGTTACCTGGCTCAGAGGATGTATGCACCCCTGAGTCAGTCTACCACTTTGTCACTGTGGTAGACTTTGGGCTGCTTTGTTTAGCAGTTACTGTTTCTTGCTGGGTCCTACTACAGGCTCTGCTCCTCCTACTAAAATTTGGTTAAGGATCAACTGTTTGTTACTTTTTTTTCTTTATTACTTATCCCTTTTGGAAACTAAAAGCAATGCTTCCACTTCTATTTATGCTTGTTAGTGCATCTGTGCATTGTGGCTCAGAACTGGTACATATAAATTTTGACAGAGAATGAAGAAATTATTTGGAAATCATAATACTCTGTCAATGATATACACTCACAGCGAATAGCAGTTAATCAGAGTGAATTTTCTTCTACATGTTTAAAAGCTTTTGGATTTAGTCAATAAAGTAGGAGAAGCATTTCCAAAAGGAAGACTAAATTGGACAATGCTGTTCATTTTCCCTTTACACAGACATCACTCCCAATTAGGGTGCCCCTGGCTACGTTAGAATAAGCCGGAAGCCCTGGGATATTTATCTGTGCCTTTTGACCCCTAAAATAAATACCAAGAGTCATCCCTTGGGGTCTTTGTAAGTATCTCCTCTGCTTTGCAGATAATACTGATTGAGAACCAAGGCCACTATCTAGTGCCCAGCTGGACATGGGGTAGGTGACAGAGTCCTCTGGCCAGTGACACGGGCAGGTTAATCTGTTTCGAGAGGTTTGGAAGATCAGTTACATAATGTCATGGGTGTTGCTTCTGCCATCTAGTAGCATCAATTATCTGGTGTTAATTGGTGCTCTCAGTGTGCTCGTGGATACTGTCCAACTCTGAACAGCATGTTCTTCTTTCTTCTAGGGAGTGAAGTTGACGAGGCCAACGGTATAACAAAGGAGGTGCTCTTTGTGCAGCAGTGTATATATGTACAGGATTGTACATACAGGCAGATCTGAAGACTTGTACTTATGAATGTTGCTTTGATGCATATTTTATTTTTATACACAAAAATATGATATACCTGTTTAAGTGCCTTAAAATGTATTTGATAAGCATCATTTCCAAAACCTACTTTGGGTTACTGCCAGTGGTAGTATGCGATTTTGGAGTTATTTTATTATTATTATTATTTTTTAATCTAATGCAGCAAACAGTCATAGGAAGTGACAAAAAAGCAACCCTCCTTCCTCTGGACCACCTTTTGTGCAGTGCAACTCTATAATCGTTACTGCACACTTTGAAATGAGGTCACATCATCAGGAAAACGCCCTTTTGATGACAGTGAAAATTTCCAAAGTCTTATTCATGAATACTTTGATTTACTGTGATTCTTTTTCTCTACAACTGTAACATGCCTCTTTCTGATCAACTCAAGAGAGGTCATAGATTGACTAGATGCTGAAAAGCACAAGTTATCTGCATTTCTTGACATCATTTTTTTAGACATTCCTTCAAGTAGTTTCCATATGGAAATTCCTCAGTTCCATTATGAGACTGTGCTGTTATGTCTTAAATTTATTATAAGGTGCTTCAGAGAAAGGGTCTGATATTTGAGTTATGAGTAAAGTAAATTTGGAGATAAACTGCAGGATTTGGCATTTGGGGTTATTTAAAATTACATCTCAACATTTTTTTTTTCTTCCATATTTTTTTTCTTTCTTGTTTTCCAACACACAGCTTGCAAACTTATAACAGTCAAATACAAGACATAGAAATGTTACAATCAGTTTGAGAGTAGCAACAGTTAAAGATGGATTATAATCCCCATTTACAACTGAGACCAATTTTTTCCCTGTTACAAAGGTGTGCTGAGCACTTTCCAAATTGCCCCTAGTAGCTATAAGCAGCCTGTTACCTCCTTCAGTTAAGCATACATATAAGGCATTTGAGACAAAATTTTAATGAGAATTTCCCTGATAGATTTGATAACTGCAGCATATTTAAAATGAAATCATATCGCTCTTATGAAAAACTGAAAATATAAAGTTCATGGATGCAAACAAATGTTACATACACATTCTGTCTGGCCAGATGGAAAGAAAAACAGGCACAGCAAATCAAAACTATTCATTAACTAAAATATTAAGTAAAATTAGCTCCTAAGTGGGCAGCCTTCAAAGGAGTATCCAGTATTTGCTTCTAGAATGGCTAGAAGAGCTTTAACTGGACCCAAATAGAGAACATAAAGCAATATATAGAATTTAGGGAACACTTTTTGTGTTTCCTACATGCCATTCTGTCACATCCTGTCTACATGCCCTTTCTTGGTTTGGCAGATGACATTGCATCTTGGGTCTTTCTAAGGCTGTGCTGGTTGTTGGCACAACAACAACAAAAATCATTCCTTAGAAATGACAGTGTGAATTTATATTACTGTTACTACTTGGTCTCATCTTTTGTTACTTCTGATGCATTTAAATATCACTGAACCTCATAAATTTCACAGGCATTATCCTCAGTGTAAATTTTAAGGCTAGTACCAGACCCTACAAAAACCTATGGTTAACAGGCTATGGATACAGTATTGTCAGGAATTTCATTTGTGTCTCAGCTACAGTAATTTTGCTTGATGCTTTGATGCTTCCATATGAATATAGAGCATAGAAAGCTTTTCATATTTTGTTCCTACAAGCTTCTTTGAATTTCACAATGGAAATATCTATCTATCTGTCTTTCTGTCTGGGGTATCATTAAGTCCTTTCTCCCTAGTAATGGAACACTGATTTTCCCCCCCAAAAGAAACTGATCTACCTCTATTGTCTAACACCTGTATGTAGTAGGTGTAATTATGGGATAAAATTCAACTGAAAAAACTGATACATTTTATCCTTTGCTTTAAAAAATGTGTTTGGTTTTCAAATAATCTTATTTACATAGTGAATTTTGGTGGCTTCAGTGATATGTTTGTCTTTTTTTTAAAAAAATATAAATGCTGTGGCATATTTTTTCATACAAAACAAAAACTAAAATGTAATTTTAAATTCATGCTTATTGGGACTTAATTATTCATATCTTAAAATGTTTTTATTATGTTTATGCACTGTCAAGCTCTCTGTTTTATGCATTTATTTTGTCCAAATGTATTTATGAAAGAAATACATTAAGCTATATTTATGTTTACTGCTTCTCCACCTGAATTTTTTTTTTAAATATGGTTGTTAAGAAATTTGACTTTTTTTTTAAATGGGCATAATTTTGATCTTTTCATGTGATCTTTCCAACTTCAAATCTTTGCAGGGTTTTTTTTTGTTGTTGTATGTTTGTATGATTCTTCCCTATTCTGTCTCAAACTAACACACCTCTGAGTAATGTTCAGTATTTGTTTATGCTAAATACCAAATTTTTCAAAAGGATTGGTGAATTAACAAAGCAGATTATTTATGATGAATGGAAGATGAAAATAATTCTATGATTAAACAGAGATGTTTTAGAAATCTTAAAAACTATGGCTTACTTTTAACCTGAATTCAGATGCACTCACAATAACTTCCAAGTACCTATAGATTTCTCTGGACTCATCCCCGTGCTCTTACATCATTGGTGGCTATACACCCATAAACATCATGGGCTCCCCAGGCATCCATACCAATTCCTCCACCACACCATAAAGTTAAAATCCAGAATGGTAGCGTTTTTGTGTTCCTTTTTTTTTTTTCACTAGAGATGTGCTTTCTTTGCATCAGGGTTGAGGTCCAAAAGAGAAATATATCCAACAGAAGAGACAAAATTTAGAAGATCTGAATTTTAGCCATCTTGTCATATTCTTGAAGGGTAGGAAAGATGAAACCTTAGAACCCTTTTTATAAACCCAGTGTTTCTTTGATGAGCAAGTCATCTTGCATAGAATTTCACACCCTTATACTCTTGCCTCTGCTGTCTCCTCCTCCCCTGGAAGGCTGACTAAAATGTCACCTCCTCCTCAAAGCATTCCTGGCTTCCCCGGCAGTGCTAGAATAGCTTTCTTTGGCACACCCTTACAACTTGTCCCTCAGGTCTTGTGAAACTCTTATATAGTCTAATCATTAGTTTATGTTTCTGCCTCCTCCTTAAATGTGATCTTCATTTCTGTCTTTCTAGATCCTGTGCCTGGCACAGTGCCTACCTCAGAGGAGTAGTCAAAACAATGTGTACTAACTTTTCACATTTTGATCTTTTAACAGGTAAGATACAAAAAAAAAAAAAAAAAAACCCAACTCACTGCCATTGAGTCGATTCCAACTCATAGCAACCCACCTTGGGTTTCTGATGTAGTAAATCTTTACAGAAATAGATTGCCCAGTCTTCCTTCCACTGGAGTAGCTGGAAGTTGGTGGGTTTGAACCACCAGAGTAGCTGGTGAGTTTGAACCACCAGCCTTCTGTTTAGCAGTCAGATGCCTTAGGCACTATGCCACCAGAGCTATGAACCTTAAAAATTAAGAGACAGTTCTTCCCTGGATATAACGCATTACTAATTTACAAGAGAAACTAATTTTTTTACTGCTATTCCAAACCTCAAAAAAAAGAAAAACATCTGTGAAGCACTGCATTGTACTGCTCCTAGAAGTCCACTGCTCTCTAGCTGTGGAAACATTACCTCTCCACAGTGAGACTGCAGACAACTTTTGTCTTACATGGATTTGACAGAGCAACAAACCCTCAATAATTAGGGCTAAATCAAGTTGGGTTTATCTGCAATTTATACATATATATTATATGTTGTTGTTGTTTTTTGTTGTTGTTATGTGCCGTTGAGTCAGACCCGACTCATAGTGACCCCTCCTTGGGTTTCTAAGGCAGTATCAATTGCCCCATCATATATGTGTGTGTATACACACACACACACACACACAAATAAATTTTTAATGGAATTTGGACCTACTTGCTATAAAGACTAAACCAACAAAACCAAACTCACTGCCTTCGAGTTGGATCTGACTCATAGTGACCCCTCCTTGGGTTTCTGAGCCGATACCACTACGGAAGTAGATTGTCCAATCTTCCTTCTAAGGAGTGGCTGGGGGGTTTGAACTGCCAGTGTCCTGGTTAGCAATCAAATGCCTTAGGCACTACGTTGATTTGTATATAAACTATATATGAGAGGTCTTATCAGAGTTTTAGGAGCCATAGTGGTGCAGTAAGGAGCTGTGGTGGTGTAGTGCCTAAGGCATTTGATTGCTAACCAGAAGGCTGGCAGTTCAAACAAACCCACCAGCCACTCTGTGGAAGGAAGATGGGGCAATCTACTTCCATAAAGATTTACTGCCTTGGAAACTCAATGTGGGTCATTATGAGTGGGTATCAACTTGATGGCAGTGAGTTTTTGGGTTAAGTGGTGAAGTGGTTAAAGCACTTGTCTGCCAACCAAAAGGATGGCAGTTTGAACCCATCAGCCACCCAGCTCTGTGGGAGAAAGATGTGGCAGTCTGTAGTTGTAAAGATTTACAGCCTTGGAAACCCTATGGGGCAGTTCTACTCTACTCTGTGGGGTTGCTGAGTTGGAATCGACTCACCAGCAGTGGGTCTTGTTTTGATTTCCAGGTCTATTCTCTTTAATAAACCAACTAATCTTACTTGCACTGTAAGGTAGTTAATCTCAAAATATGAGTAAAATACTAGCTATTTAAAGGTGGACAAAGTTCCCATAGGCCCTGGAGAACCCATCCACAGACCAGATTATGAGAAAATCTGCATTAAATATTAAATGCTGTTGCTCTAATGATCATTTGGTGCCAGTGTGGTTGTAAACACGAGTGCAGACGAGGGCAACCCTTTGAAATCGCAGGGTTGTGTAGTCTCAGAGGGTTCTCCAGATGTAGACATTTCCGGGTGGTTCTCCCAAGTAGGCATTTCCAGATCTTCATAGACTTCTTAAAAGTTTTAGAATCAAATAGAACTGAAGCATCCCAAAGG